ACATCTATGTGCCTGTATTAACCAACAAACAAGGTCAGACAAAAAAAGATTTCTTATGTGGAGGAAAATCCAACTTCTCTGGCACCATGTGAAATATCTCAGTGAAGTCTAGCGTGATAAATGGCCTCTCCTTCAGTAAATCTAATGAGAACAGGTATTTATAGCTGGTAACGGTTACTGAGTGTTCCCTCCAAAAATGTGAGACTTCTCCATGCCAAACAGTCTCACACCAGTCGACTCTTGTTTGATGTGTGATCCCTTACCGTCCTTTAATGGGTAAGACTTCCATTTACTCTTTTGAGGAAAGCCAGACTCTAATCAGCCTGTAAATTATGCAGAAGCTTGTTGTTTTAGGGCTCATAATAATGTGAGCTGAATTTAACACTGTTGTGTTTATGGGTTGAAGAAAAGTAGGAGATTCTTGAAAAACATCAGATTCCAGTCATCTAAGAAAAATATCGGCAATAATTTCCATTTTGATTTCTACTTAATGAAGATAATGTGACTGCCTGTGGGCCTCAGTGACTTTGCCAAATCTAACGTATCACACACAGGGTCAAATAATGTGGCATTTAAGCTGGGGGAGGACTTGGTGACCTCAGAACAAAGAATTTGGCACCTGTTGTGTTCTGCCTTCTAACTTTTTATTGAATCTATTTGAGACATTTGTTTTTCCATGGGAAAAATTCAAATCAATTTCTGCAGATGGCTCCAGTTAAAAGAACAACAAAAAAAGATGATAAATTCAGCTGCATGAAGGATTTTATATCAATTAATTTATGATAAAGGGGTTCTAAATTGATTCACAAAAAATGTCACATGTCTTGTACTTTTGGTTGAGCGTGAATAAAATGTATTTAGTTTGATTTTGTTTAATGACATTTACAGCAGAGTTCTTCTCCTTTTCTTTGATTATTTCTTTTGGTGGTGACAGTTCTCATTGCTGATGATTCATGTCTTTAACACATGTGTTTTGCATTTATTCTCCACTTTATGGTTACCTCAGAATAACATTTTGTACGTTCATACACGTGTACCAGTTTAATGTGTGCATCTACAACAAATTCCTGTGACTGCTTTGTCATCTCAAACATTTGTACCGATTTCTTCCTCTTCATTTTATTAATAAAGATGATTGAAATCTATTCAGTTTCCTTCCTTCGAGTTATCCCTTGAAAATCGTATTGGTTGGGCGGCTTATATTGTCGGTGTTATGAAGTCCTTTCCGTCTGCCAGACAGGCAGGAACTCAGGAGGTTAAGCCAAGAGGGAGGGATATTTAGAGATGAAGAAATGTTGGCAGTGTACTGGTGAAAACCAGATGCTGCTGAGGAGAAGAACATGCTGTGTTAGACCCAACAACCCTCCGTGTTCTCACTCGCTGTGCCCTCATCTGTGCCTAGATTCTGAGTTTTTCCACTTTAATCTTCAACATCTGTGAAGGTTGGGAATACAGGCCACAGTTTTTCTTCTTCTTCCTCTTCGTTTTTTCCAGTCAGCAGCGGGCAGAATGCATCGATATCTGGGCGTATGGGTGTTTCTGGGTTTGCTGTCCCCACTGGTTCTGGCTGTCGGAGCAGTGGAGTGCACGGAGAAAGAAAAACTACTGGATTTAAAACCAAAACCAACCTCTATGCAACGGCCAACAGACTGTTTATTGGAGTGCACTTCGATGACGTACACGAAAAAATTGCAGCTTCAAGACAAACATAACATACGGATTAAAGACTCCACGGAAGGTAAGAAGCCACAAAGTGCCGCTTAAGTCAGGTCTGCTGCTGGATAAATTAGTTAAATGTAGAGATATTATCAGTTTCTTATGTCAATTTATCACCTATTTCTCCCAGAGACCTGTAGTCTGATCATGGTTTTCACGGAACAATTCAATTATGACTGTAAAACCATTCATTCACAAGCTAAATAATACATAATTGCGCTCCTGGTCAGAAAAAAAAGTTGAAAATCTCCATTAGCTTTATGGGGAATTTGGAGAGGATGGTTAACAGAATATTTTGTTTAAAGCTGTTTACGTATTTATTTTATCTGTCTGAAGAAGCTGCTAATTTACATGATGAGGGTTGGTTAGAAAAAACAAGTAAAAGATAGATAGAGCTATGAATCCACCCTAAATGTGAGGTTTTTTCTTGGATGACCTGCCACGTATTGGCCTTTATAGACCAGTTTATTTCCTCAGGAGTCATTGGGGAATACTGCTGGTCCACGGAGCTCAAGTGCACCGTTGGAGAGAGCTTTTCGAGTGCCTTTGTGGTGCTGCCCGTGGATGTAGCCGCAGTGGGACCCGAGCAGCTGGCGGTCAGCGCCACTTCCCCCACCGCCTCCGTCCTGCAGGCGCACGGCCGCCCCACCACCATCGCAGAGAGCTGCGGCCTGATTTACGAGGTCACGCCACACTTCAGCGCGCCCGGCACCGACACGTCGTTCTGCGTCCAAGTAGGGACGCAAGAGGACGAGTGGGGGGACAGGGTTCTGAAATGCCCCCCTTACCTGGTCACCTTCTGGCAGAGGAATCCGAACCAGTCCAACCAGCACGTCGGCGGATAAAACGTTTGTATAGAGGTGCTGAGGCAGTAGCACTAATGCAACTGTAAGGGGTCTTGCATTTCAATTATGTAAATGCCATGCAAATTACACATCGAGGAAAAAATTATTTTAGCATGCACACAGTTTTGATGTAAACTGCTCGTTCGGTTTGTTGTCCGGTGGACTAAAGGTCGGTTCTGACATCCTGAAACAATCAGAGGGACAAATCAATGGACAAACTGACAATAGGCATGACTGATTCTCTTCTGATTCATATGTTGCAACTTTACACGTCCAATAGCCTCATAAAGTATCTACTTTAGATTAAAAAGTGGCCCGGTTCATAAAACGCAGCATTTTACTAGACTTTCCAAAATGTATTTATGTGGTATTTGAGGATATGTACAACAGACTGTCAAACATTAGTCAAAGATTCCTAAATTTTGAAGTCCTCTATAATAGTTTTACTTGCTTTAATGCTTTCAAAATATTCTAAATCTCTGCAACCATCTGAACGGATTAGTTTAAGCTGTGTTCTTTTAAAAGCTCAAAATCTACTCGCTTGATCAGCTCATTGGTTTAAATCAGCGGAGTGCTTTCCACCCTTTGGGAATAATCGAATAGCTCTTGGCCTGGATGGGGAGGGGTTGCAGTGTTAAGGAAAGTCAGCCAGAGGAATTTGTGGGGAAAATGTTTCCACGATAAATCTATTTTGTGCTTTCCAATAACTTTTACAACCTTTTCTCACAGAAGCATCTTAATTTAATCTTTAAAAAATTATAATATGCATAACAATATTAAATTCATGATATAATGAAAATATAATACATGCTATGACACAATATAAAATAGAAAACAGTACGTCATCAACAGGGTTGCACATTTAAAAAAGGAAAGCAGAAAAAAACTGAATATCATGCTGTAATAGACGGATCCCACCATCCTCCTCTCCTGGTTAATAAATCACAGTTAGTTTAAGCTGAGCGTAGCTTTGACTGTTGCAGCTGTTAAGATTTGTAAAAGGGAATCATCTCCTTTCCTTTCATAAAGGATGTTTCTTTCTGATAAAGAGACGATAAACAAAGCATTGAGGCTCCTTTCCGTAACGGTTAAAGAGCTCAGATAGGTTTGAGTCATTGCCGTTATCTAAAAAACTAATAATATCAGACCATAGCATACCAGTTCGAATAAAATAAAAATGGACAGAATAGATTTTTTTAAATTGTCATTGCACAACAGGGTATAGCAAAAGTGTGGGTGCTCCACATGAGCTTGTGCACTGAGTAGAAAAAATAAAGACTAAAATTATTTTAAAATGTGCAAATCTGCATACAAGTATACACGTGAATATAAACATATATGCATAGATATGAATGTTTATATATACACACTGAAGACACCTGGTCTGTCTAAGATGTGTATAACAGAGCATCAATTTGGTAAATTGTCAGGTTGAATGATATTGGTATTTATTGAGAAAGGATCATAGAAAAATAATGTAATGTAAAGACACTGATAAATCTCAGTTTATTCTCTCCTGCTCTTGTCCGTGCACATAGACATTTGAGTGTAACATCTTATTTTTATTTGCCATTTCTATAGAATTCTGTATAATCACCTCTATATTCGCTGTTTAAGATTAATATCTACATTTCTTTCTTTCTATCTTTTTCTTTCTTTCTTTATGGGTTCTCAGACTGAATGTGAGGAATTTTACTGAATGGATTATGTTCTCGTGGTATAGCTCTCTGGTTTATGTGGACACCGTAGAACTAGAATAAATGATAATCTGTCCTCAGATCCACTTTATGTGATGTTTTTCTTATTTTAGTGCGCCATCGCTTCACATGCAAATGAATAAAGCTTTACCTTGCAACAAGAAAACAACAACAAGGCATCTCTTCTGTTCTGCTGGGATAAATCCAAGGCCTAAAAATGTCTCAGTTTAATTAGAATGTACTAATGTGTCATGATGTTGATTGTTCGTTGGAATATGATAAACTGAATGATTACATTTTTCCTCACAGGTGTATTGACACATTAAAGCTATTTCACATTAGCAATTTCCCTGCCCTCTCCTGTAATTCACTCTGAAACTGCATTTGAGCTCATGAGGCAATAGATTGCCACCTACTGGCTGTCAAAAAACTATAAAAGTTACCCAAATGGCTCCACTAGCTAACCACCTGATGGCAGGCTTGCAGCTGTGCTGTTTGAGTGTTTCAATGCATAAAATGTACTCCGCTCCTCTGAAAACCTGTGTGAGATTAAAACTTGTATGAAAAACACTGGCTGTCAGTCACCATTTTTCTCATATTCTTTGATATTGATTGCAGTTTAACATGGACAAATGTTGATCAAGTTAAAGTCTCTTTCTAACATGGCCACAATTAAATACTGAAACAATAAGTACAGACTTACTCATTCTGGGGTCCATTTAGAAACAGTTTCATTTATTTTTCTCCCTGTATTTTTTTTAGAGGTAATTCACACTTCATTTAATGCTTCTATATATGATCATATCATATATAGAAGCATCTCTCTAGATCTCTCTATGTTGCAATAAGCTCTTTGGACACTGACAATATTTGGAAATGACATATCTAAAAAGATGCAACGTTAATTAAATACTCTATAAACTCAACTGCTGCATGATTTAATTAACTTCCCCCTTACGTTTGAGTACTGTCCAGAGTGGAATTGATATAATTTTCAATCTTATAAATTGTTGGTGACAACAAGTTTGAGGATTCTGTCATCAAGTCTACACTCTGACATCTACCTCCATCTTTGGGAATAACTACTGATTATATCTTATTTAGTTACAAATATAAACAAATTGTCAAAGTTCATTTTCTCCAGCATTATTCTTCATGTTCCCCCTGTGGGCCTCACAGCATTTCTGGACCCCTCACTGATGATTGTTTAATTCTTTTTGGTGTTGTTTTTTTATTTATAAAAGACTAAATGAGCTGCCAGGGAGATAAAAAGTCATGGTAATCATTAAAGATAATTCCAATGATTTCCCATGTCTGAGTGAGATTTTCTCTCGTCCTTGAGCTTTTAATCATTAAAACTAGTCCTTCCAGAGCAGATTGCCTATTTTAACTTAAAGGGAAAAGTATGTAAATTAATCTAATCTTCTGTTTCTTTAGAAACCAGACACACTGGCTGTATGCTTTTGGCATGACTTTCCCCAAAACATCGTGGAGTAAAACACAAAAACACAGCTGGCCGTACCATGTCTGTGGCGCAGGGGTCGGAGCGTAAAGTTCGCCTAAAAACCTTAAAAACCCTAAAAAAGCCGCACCATTCTTCCGATAACGGACCAAATCGGTCGAAAACTCTCGTATCTATTACCGGAATAGTTACACAACCACTTTACGAAACTTTTTCGAGAAAGTAGCGTGCTTAAAGGAGAGCTCGGTCCCCGGCTGGCTGCGATAGGTAGAACAATCCAGCAGGCGGACGGACTGGACCGGACCCAAACGCGCAACCACCGAGCGGCGGCGGCGGGGGCCTGACAGACCGTCTTTTTTTTAAAAAAAGAGCCAAACCAACTCCACCGGTAAACAATGTGACCGAATGAGGGGGGCACCTCGGCGAGGAGCGTTAGAAAACGTATGACAACCGACAACTTTGGCCGTGGCGAGAGACGCGCCGCAGCATGGCATCGCACCCGAGGTAGGCAGCCCCTTTCCGGCTAACCGCTAACCGCTAGCCCCGGTCGGCCCACCGACTACCGGGATGAGTCCCGACCGGGGCACCGGGGGATAAGTTCAGACCCGGAGTTTGGGGCCTCGAGACGGCGTTTGTAGTGGCCGTGGTTCGTGGTGAAAAACAGAAAGAGAGTGGGGTGTTTGAGGGGTTTTAGGTCGGAAGGCAGTTCGAGGGAGAGGTGGAATCAGCTGGAAATGTCAGGCTGGTTTGGTGTGATTTCCACCAGCTGGTCCGCGCGCGGGGGGTGCGCGCACGAGCCCGGTCAAGGGAAAGGGGGCACGCGAGCAGTTTGTGGGGGTTTGAACTGAATGCAAACACACTTATAATGTTTATTCGTCTTTGGAAAAGTCAGAATAAATAACAGAGACACTTTGAACTCTATCTATCTATCTATCTATCTATCTATCTATCTATCTATCTATCTATCTATCAATGTAGAAGAAAATATAAGTCTATGTATCTGTATGTCTTATATCTATAGATGGGTAGAAAGCAGCTTTATGAGTATTTTTTTAATTAAAAAAAGAACTGAATGCAAACACACTAATAATCTTTATTGGTGCTTGGAAAAGTCGGAATAGTTGGAATACAGAGACACTTTGAACACTATCTATCTATCTATCTATCTATCTATCTATCTATCTATCTATCTATCAATGTAAAATAAAATATAAGTCTATGTATTTGTATGTCTTATATCTATAGATGGTAGAAGCTTTATGAGTATGTTTTAATTAAAAAAGAACTGAATGCAAACACACTAATAATCTTTATTCGTGCTTGGAAAAGTCGGAATAGTTGGAAAACAGAGACACTTTGAACACTATCTATCTATCTATCTATCTATCTATCTATCTATCTATCTATCTGTCTATCTATCTATCTATCTATCTATCTATCTATCTATCTATCTATCTATTTATAAATGTACAAGAAAGTAATGTATGTAGTGTATGTATCTGCATGTCTTATATCTTTAGATGGGTAGAAGCTTTCTGAGTATTTTTTAATTAAAGAAGATTTCTGAGGATTAAAAGAGTGTTTTAAACTACAGATTATGTCTCTAAAATCATGTCAGTGAGTTTGCTGCCGTTAAAAATGTCTACTTTAATCGGCTCCTCATCTTTTCAGATAAACGTCAGGTGTCTTTGTGTTCACCTGCTTCCAGTTTGCAGCATTGTAAAGAAAAGTACCACAAGCATTCAGCCTGAATCCACTTATGGGTAGACGATATATAGAACTGAAGAGAGGTTCAGAAATCTCCTGCACAAACAAAGAAGAAAAAGTCGGCATCTCAGTTGCTGAATGGGGTTTTTCAGACATCTTCCCGCTTGCGTGTGGGAGCATAGTTTAAAGGAGTTCAGAAATTTTAAGTGGACTGATGCATGTTAAAACAACCCGTATAGCCCGTCCACTCTGACCATGATAGACGGTCAAAATTACTGGAAGCTAGCCACCACTTCCAGTTTGGACCCATCCAACCGTAGAGCTGTTTGTTGACCGCCCTCCGTCCCCTTTTTGTCCACTTCTGACACAAACTCATTATCAAGAATTTCTTTAATTGCATATTTGTGTTTTCATGCAAATAAATAAGAAAGATGCCCTTTTTTGTGGCATAAAAGTTACTGATTTTGCAGCCAGCTGTCATTAGTTTTAAAGCCTCATTTTGTTTGGATGACAGTGATGAATAAAAGCTGTTATCTGGAGTTGCATCTCAGTCAGGCTGCTCTGACAGGCTGGAGGAGTCTTCTGGCCCTTTGGGGTGGGGCTCAAATCTGGCAAAGCTAGAGAGTTCCTTCTGAGGAGAGCTGTGCCGGCTGTAGAAACTACGATACACTTCTTATTTCCACGCAGCTCATGCAGATGGATGGAGACGCCTGCTCTCAAATCTGATCCAATGGCTTTAATTGGGCGGCCCGTTGAGCAAAAGTAGAGATGAGATGCTTTGTTTTCTGTTTTGATCTTGTTTCTTGCACATGTATTGTTTTAATTGCGATTGAATTTACTGAAAATATGACTTGAATTTTTGGCTGCTGAAACTTCAGCTTGACTTTGTTGCCTCTGTCTTTGTTGACATCCTCTGGAAATCACCTGCTGCAATATGAGATTTGAAAAGGGTTCAAATGTTTGAGCCTCCGGTCAGAGAACTTATCTGCGTATTAGGAATGACTGACTTCTAATCTGTGCATAGATGGCTCTAAATAAATAGGAAACTGAGAATATATCAACATTTTCAAACAAATAAGAGCTGCTCAAAGTCCTTTGCTCAGAATTTGAAAATTACATTTGAAAACAATTCTCTCAAATAACAAATTAATGGAATACATCAATATGTTGATGTATTTGATGTTTTTTTCTCAGTTATTGTGATGAAAAGTTATGGCTTTGTAAAGCTGTTTTTGTTTGTTTGTTGTTTTATTCAGCTTTGGTATTCCTGCAGGGCTTCTGGTGGGACAGAAAAAGGACCTGAAACAACCACGAAAAGCCCCCGTTGGTGTCTGTCACACCTGTGGCTGCGCCCCCCCGGGCGTTGGCAGCCTGTGAGTGGGCAGTGCCAGTCGGGGCTTTCCTTGGAGTTTTAGGCAGCCTCTCTGTCACTTTTAATGAGTGAGCGCGCAACCTGTTGGCTTAATCCCAAATCTTAGCTGTGCCCCTTGTTGCCATGGAAGCATCCCACCGGGGCTGTCTGCGGTCGATCAGCATCCTCACAGAAAAAAACACAAAAGAGCCAAAATTTGACAACATGTGGCTTATGTTATCATTTAGACGCACAAACTGGGGCCTGAGCTTGAGTTTTTCTTCACGTGGTTCATAAAAATTAGATTTTAACCATCTGAAAAGACGGTTTGTCATCTTTGGGGAGCAGGCGGGAAAAAAAGTGGATATTGAAGTCAGTCGTCAAAGCAGCTGTGAGTCGAGTTACACCTGTCTGCCGAGGTGATGTCATCAGACACTGATGTCCCCTTGGGTGGACAAGTGTGCGATACAAAGCCTGAATCTGCAGTCTAAATGTTGAAGTGTCCTTAGCCACAGCTGGTTTCATGGTAAGAATCCGCTCTGAGGAGCTGAACGCGTCAGCACGGTTTCACTGTCGGGTTATTTTAGATAAGGCAGCCATCTGTTGTCTGTCCTGTAATTTTAATTAAATTTAAAGAGTGCTTTTACAATGCTTCTTCTGTCTCTCTGTGCAAGTGTTTCTAATGAAGAGAGGAACCTTCTCCGCCTTCGAGCTCGGGAACAGAGAAACCAAGAGACCAGCCAGAGCCAGGAGCTGAACCCCGAAAATGTGCCGCTCTTTGGGGAACCTTACAAGGTGAGAGCCGTCCCAGAGGAGGCCCGAAGCTGCCCGGGCACCAGGAGGGCCCCAGGCTTTTTACGCCGCCGTTCTCATTTCTCCTCAAACAGGTTGTGAAAGCTCAGGACCATAACGGTGTCATATTTCAGCCATGTGGAGCCAACACCCCCCACCCCCCTCTTTCTTTTAAACCAAGTTCCCAACTGAATGAGTTGAAATGGGTCGATTGTTAAGAAGACCAGCAGTTATATTTTTTTCTTTCTGGATATAACT